ATCATATGACTCATATGCATCATCATATGTCTCTTATTTTGCGTAATGTGGAATGAATTTGCTAGTCATGGTGAAAAGCAAGAAACAATGGAGGGCAATGGGGGGGACATCCTAGTTTCTGGGAGTGTAGTTGGACCAACTCTCTGTCATCAGAGATTTCAGCAGCTTTTGTGCACATGAATGCATTCATGCATTGTTGCATTCGTAAGGGCTAGAAACTTTTTTACAAAGCAACCTAAAAAAGCTGTATGGAAAAAAATACTTCTTTTTTTTGCCTCAAGTGTGGGGAAACCCCCCCCTCCCCCAAGTGTGGAATGGCAGACATTGGGAATAGAATAAGTGCTTTACGACTGGGATGACAGCCCCATCCCCAAGTGGAATGGTGGTCCCTGGAAATCATTCCAGTGCCACAGCACTCACTCTGTTTCCGGGGACTCTCCCATTCACCCCCACCCCCAGCAAGCTCTCATCCCTGCCCTAGAGAACAGATTCTATTCCCAGGGGCTCTCATTCCAGTCTTAGAGGATTCGGAGAGCAATCAGCAGATCTGCTCAGGAAAAAAAGGTCGAAAAAGAGTCAGCTAAAATGGAACAGCAAGAGAGGGAAGCTGACAGGGAACACAAAAAATGAACTGTATACAATGAAGATGAAGGAAGCACAGTTAAGGGAAGAACTGCCGCTTCCACAGAGAAGTGTAGAAAGTACCTCAGTGGAATCTCTTTCTCACTGTCCTGTCAGTGTGAGCTGTGCTAACCCAACGCCTCTAGGTGTGAGTCAACCAAGACTACTGAGAGAGCTTAAATCATCTTTATTCAACTTCACACGCATTCAGAAGATCATTACTCACAATAGCTGGGTGGGAAGTTACATCTTGTGATCTAGGTTAGTTCAATAGCCGCGATGAGAAAGAGATGGGCTTCCCCTCTCCTTTGCAGTAAGGGTTGATGAACAAAGAAACGGAAAAGAACCATAAAACTCCTATCTTTGCGCCTCTGAGCTCAGGAAATTGCTCTTAATGAGCCAGTCAGAGGGAAGCTTCTGGGACCCCTAACTGTGGACTCCAATTCCCAGGTGCAACAAGTCTTAAAGATACAGCGCAGTTTTACAAAACTACAAATAACGCTGACTGGGGGCAGCACAGTGGAACAAAAGCAATTTCCGTGTTATCAAAAAGGGGGTGATGTGGAGGCATTTCTCTTCAGTTTTGAAGGAACTTGTCGAGATTTTGTGGTCCCAGATGAGGACAGAATGATTTGCGCCCACAGATTTGTGGAGGCCTGGGTGAAGTTTACTCAGAGGTAAGGGATGAGAAGACCTCAGATTATTTGCTAGGTTGTCCTTTGGAAGGAGCCTTAAACAGATGGATGGGTTGAGGGAAGCAAAGAAAATCCCACTTTATGGAAAGAGCCTTGCTCCCAGGAAAGAAGGTTGCAGCTTCATTCTGCTTTCAGGGACCATGTTTGGGTCGTCATTCCTTTGTTTTCCCTGATCTGTTCCTAATTTTATTCGCACCTGTCATGATCTGTGCAGGACGGACGCAGGGCCTAGAGGCCTAAACTCTAGGAGAGACCTGCATGGCAGTGAAAGCAGACAGCCTACAATCCCCATAAGGCTTAGCAACGGGCTATAGCCAATCAGAGTACAGAGATTCTGTGAAGAGACTGTTGCATTCTGTGAGGAGATGCGGTCTTCGCTGTTAAATGTGGAAAATGGGGGTCTTTCATCTCTCTCTGCGGCCTGGTCTCCCGCGGGGACAGGCTGGTCTGGTGAGAGGAAAAAATCCCCCACTTGGCTCAGCATGAGTGTAAGGCAGGCAGCAGGCTGTGGGCCTGGAAGTAGTAACCAGTTAGGAATAATAATAGGTAGCTGTGTTAGATTCTGTTTATTTTTCCTTTTAAACACTGTTATGTATGTTAAAGCATCTTGTCTTGTTTTTCCCATGCCCAGTACTGTAAAAAGAAACCCTTCCTGTTTCACTGTTTCTCTACCTTGGCCATCACACTCATGTTTCTCGGCTACAAAGGGGCAATTTGAAGGGGCTTGGGAAGGTACCCTGGGCCTTCTCAAGGGACCGAAGTCCAGGGTGGCGGCGGCAGAAGGTGGAGACCCCCCCTGGGGCATGGCAGCACCCTTACAGGATTTCAACGTATCTCAAATGGAGTCCATTCAAGTCAGTTGGCATCTGGGGCTCCCATAACATTCAATCAGCCTTCTGGCAGCTCCCATGGTTCCCAGTGGGCATTCAGAGCATTTGTTTTAGTACATCACTGCAACCACCAGACAAATTTTAAAGTGGGTGGGAAGCCTGGTGGGAAGACATCCCCCCTCCGCCGGCCCCCGCAGCCAGCTACTTTCCACCCCAAGCAGCAGTGCCCAAGATGAAAGGAGGCTGGCTGGCTTGAGAGGAGGGGAGTGTAAGGACCCACATACACACACACACACACACACCTGACTCCTTTAGGTCTCCAGGTCCATTGCCAAAGAGAAAAGCATTGCACTGTAAAGGCTATGAGCCAGGGAGTTAAACCCCTTGATTAAAATGGAATTTACTATCGCAGTAATGTTATACGCACAGTTTATGAACACTTTGTACTCTGCCACTGACTAACAGGCTTAACTTAATAAGGTGCACTTAGCACTTCCATGGTGCATATGTTAAGTGCCATTTATGATTCTAACATCATTAATGTTTTCAGGTATTAACTTTGGTTCATTTGTGACTGTTGTTTGGATGCATGCTGGGAAGATATTCCCTATGAGGAAAGGTTAAAGTGCTTAGGGCTCTTTAGCTTGGAGAAAAGACGACTGAGGGGTGACATGATCGAGGTTTATAAGATTATGCATGGGAAAGAGCAGGTAGAGAAAGAGGTACTTTTCTCCCTTTCTCACAATACAAGAACTCGTGGGCACTCCATGAAACTGCAGAGCGGTCGGGTTAGAACGGATAAAAGGAAGTACTTCTTCACCCAAAGAGTGATTAACACATGGAATTCACTGCCACAGGAAGTGGTGGCGGCTACAAGCATGGACAGCTTCAAAAGGGAATTAGATAAGCATATGGAGCAGAGGTCCATCAGTGGCTATTAGCCACAAGGTATAGCTAGGGGCTCTGGGGCAAGTGATGCTCTGTCTTCTTGGTCCTTGGGG